GCTCGACGACACCAGGAAGAGGAGATTCAACACCAAGAGAAGCAAGCAAAAACGAAAGAAGATATCAGGAAGAAGCCACAAGATTCGCTACTGTTATCCAGCTCCTGTCACCTGTAAAACCTCATTCTATTCCATGTAGGCCTCCACCCACTCCTGCCAGGTACCAAGCCCTCTTTTCACCCTCCAGCACAGAAACTAGCCATCCAGAAATCACCCCCATTGCAACCTGACATATCTTTCCAGGTCTTTCGTGCTTGGGGTAAAAGGTAGGATGATGACACTACCATGCTGGATTTAGCAAGTTTACCCCAAGAGAAACATTTCAGATGCGTATGTGTTTGAGCCTCGAAACACAGCGCAAGTTGGAGCACACACTTCATACTTCGCTTACCAGTCCCAAATCAAGAGTCTCTTCAATGGAGCCCTTCGCAACAACTGTGGCCATCATAGTCATTGGACTAGGACACCCAAATGCCCTGCTATATCCGCCCAGTGCCGATTTTGTTGCCATATCGGACATTACAATAAATGCTGCAAGAAGGACCGACATCAGAGTAGACCTCCATGTAACAGTGGTGCTCACCCTACTTCCAGTAAGCCTCATGTGACAGAACTTTAGCTGTCATCGCATAGTGGCACTTTCTTCTTTTACTTGCAAAACCTCCCAGACCATATGTGTCAAGTCATCTAATGGTGGAATTATATCCAGCATCCACATGTTACCAGATACAGGTACAAGTTCTAAATTATTAGCTAACACCATACACTACATATCTCTGAGAACAATGTGCATCCTCCTTCGCCGACGACAACACTTACCACGGACAATCCTGCAATGGCACCTGATCTGGGTACAGTCCAAGCTACCCTCACTCTTGACTAACATGCCCTGTCACGATTCCCGTCTTAAGTGTCCAGAGACCTTTACTTTTAAATAGACTCTGTCAAGAAATATCTATCATATCTTCAGCATTCTCCAAGCCAATTTTTGAGCTGGAACATATACACAAATTCAAGGTGTTGCCTCTAAATGCCACCACATCACCTTCATCTGCTAATTAATACTTTCTAGAAGAATTAGAGGGTGTGTTGGTTTCCAAGGGAGAATTGAAGTCAGTCCCACTCAAGCCCACAATAGGTCCTCCCATGAGGATCCACCTCAAGGAGGATGCCATCCCATTTGCTATCCACACACACCCAATCAAATTCCCTTTGCAATCCAGAAGCAGTCAACGAAGAACTGGATTCCATGGCAGCGCAAGGAATCATTAAACCAGTAGGTTATGCGCCTTCAGACTGGTGTCACCCTCTCGTCGTCATAGGCAAGGATACCACTGCACATATCATTCTTGACCTCTCTAAACTGAAAAGACAAGTTAAACGTTCAACCCACCCATTGCGGTGTCTTTTGATGCCATCAACATGAACCCAAAGGCTCATTACTTCATCACTGCTGGCGCCCTTTGTGAATACTAGCAGATGGAGTTTCCGAAAGAGGATCAATAGCTGACTACGTTCATTACATCATACAGTCGGTTCCAACAGTGCAGAGAATCGATGGCCTTCACAGCTGCTGATGACGCCATTTTCCTTTGTGGTGTTACAGCCCTGCAAGAGGTCCAGAATTCTGTTCAAGTTGTTGACAATATTCTATATGATGAGCCATCTTCAGAGTATCCATGAATTTCTCACCAGGTACTGCAAGTTGAGGATCACTCTCAACAAGGAAAAGTTTGTGGTCACCGCACCTTCAGTGAACTACTGGTGATGGCATATCAAGTAAAGTCAGTGCCATCAAGGACTTCCCAACTTCTGCCAATTTGACAGACCACTCATTCATGAGTCTTGTCAACCAACTGGCAGAGTTTATGCCCAACATTGCGACTGCATCTCAACTTCTACGTCCCTTACTGAGCCCTAAGAGGGGATTCATATGGACTACTGACCATGATGAAGCCTTCTGTCCTACCAAGGCAGCCCTCCTCAGTCGACCCGTTTTTGCACCATTCCATCCAAGCCTGACGCCTTTTTCTTGATTCAGTGTGGTTACCGTTTCCTCACTAATGCCGAGACTCGCTACGCCATCATTGAACTTGAGATGCTGGCAGCAGCCTGGGCCACTTCAATGTGTCGGATGCATTTGCTAGGTCATCAGAATTTTACCATTATTAATGATCATTGCCCACTTGTCCCAACCCAGAATCACCATTTTTTAGATTCTGTGGAGAATCCCCGCACTTGAAAGAAAAGATTTCACCTTTCCTCTACACTGCTGTGTGGCGGACTAGTTAGCAACTGCATTCCTGATGCCCAGTCTAGATCCCCAGTTAGCCAGCCCAACACCAGAGGATGAACTCTTATGTGTCAATGCTGCTGCACACCCCAGGACTATTACGAAAGTGAATGCCGTCATCTGTTCGGATGAGTCCTTACCACAGGATGCTGACAGTGCTCTTCAGGATATTCGGTCCGCAGCTAGAGCAGCCCCTTCGTACACTTC